TGCATATAATTATAGATAGTTAAAACAAAATGTATTTGAACTTTTGACCGTTGTTCAACATCTATGCACGGTTACTAAACTAGTAACCGTGATCTATGAAAACCAGAAAATTTTTAGTAGTCCGAATTTTTGCACGGTCGAAAATAAAACGGAAATTGACCGGTCAAAAGCGGAAGCGGTCAAGAGGTTTGGGGGAAATGAGTACAGTACTTCTTTGTTTGATGAAGCGATGCTGATGCCACATTGTCGCCATAATGAGGCCACAATGAAGCGAAGCGATAATCTTCTAACTTTTTAATGTCGCGACATTGAAGCGATGCTGAAGCTGTAACAATGCCATAATGATGCGATGCTGAAGCGAAGGTGAAGCTGAAGTGAAGCCAAAGCTTCCGCGAGAACTGTACTGTACCTATCCTCGGGGGGCGGAGCTACGTCCCAAGACGTTCCACGTTGCTAAGACGCGCACCACTGCACCATGCATTTCTATGGGCTCTGTGCACGCCGCTGTGGAACTCCGGTCGAGCCGGTGAAAATTCAAGAAAACAACACAAACTCAACTTTAAAGTAATCGCGAACAATCAAATTCACATATGTTACACACGTAGGGCTAATCTTGTTACACTGTTCAGAGGAGTCTCAACAACCATCCGAAAGTACTGTTTTATGCGAGTTTTGAGCCTTTGTTTTCACCGCCGCGGGTTGCCAGGTGGTGAAAATGTCTGGATGCCCCCCCCCCCAACCCCCCCCCCCCCCCCCCGATAGTTACAAACATAATGCAAACAATCAGCAATTTCTGAAAACTTGTATGAACTCATTACATGTTGTCATCATTTTATCCATTTCAAATGCTGTACCACATTCTATGATTACATTCTATTTTTACTAAGATCTCGTAACAAACGTTATTGATGAGATTCAACGTACCCAGGTGGAAGTCTGATGGCCTGGAACATGTACCTCAGCTGGTTCATTCACAGCATCCAGACAAGTAGTAGAATGTGTATATTTACACAACCACAGCAAACTACTGCCACTAACACTGTAATACAAATCAAAATTGCACTGGTCAGTATCATAATAATAACATAGATGAGCAAAGTGTGGGGACTTTACCTATTTCATGCAAACTACCGGTACGCAGTTTATTCACACTAGGTACACCAAAAAGTGCTTTCCACGATTAACAGTTACATATTGGACTTGCTCTCAAATGAATACAGCAATCAAACAAACTGCATTAAATGCAAAACTGTCATATTTTGATGATCTAGTATAGAATGAGTTTCTATACTAGATCATCAAAATATGACAGTTTGGCCATAAACTCATGTCATAGTGCATGCACTACAAATAGTGCAAATATGATAACAGTACCTCAATGTTACCACAAACCTTTAACAACAATTGACCCCAAGGTACAGGAGCAGCCATTTTATATTCGATGCTATGTGCAGCAAGACTCACCATACATATGTACTGGTTGTTATGATACATCAAGCCTATGAATGTAATTTGTCTCCCATCCAAATTTTGGTGAATCATTTTGCACTCTATTCATCTACAATTTCTTTGATCAAATAAACCTAATTTCTTATTAACTATAGGACTTGATCAAAATCTCTGACAAATTATGAAACACATTGTGTAAGTTTATTTTGTGAATAGCTTCAGCAATGGTTGTTATTTTTTTCCAGTTGATTTGATATATATATAACATATTTTTGATTTGATAACATATTGAAACATTTGAAATCTGATATGTGTAGAAACTTACTTGAGTTCAAGCTCAGTCCATTTTAACGGGAAATACGCAGGCACTTTTATTGTGTAAGAAAAATTACCATTGCTGGATGAGGAGAGAGAAAAAGAAAGGCACTCGTAAAAGAACAAAAAAAAAAAACAGTTTTTTTACAGAATCACTCATTTGTATTTAGTAACTTTAGTATATATTCTGATTTAGTGACCATCTTGCAATTCATCTTCACTGCATACCTCACCAGTTACATACATACATACATACATGTATATACATTTGTCAATATATTTAATTTTGTTGTAATTTTGCATTAATGAATTACCACTATCTACCACCAGCAGTGGACCCTTGAGATAAGATTGCAGCGGAAGCCTGCTTTAGTACATAGAATGAGAAGCTATATTTATACTTACCCACAATGTGAATAGTCACAATGGCTGTCATTTATCAGATAATTCCCATCTATTATACGAATACTAGTTACCGCCAGTGGTGGTTCTGAAAATGATGAAGATAGTTAACTATGTGTATTTATTATTATTGTCATTTTATATATTCCAGGAAAGTTTCATTTCGTTTAGTAGTCAATATCATATTTTGGACGATGTATTCCACACATGAAAAATACATTGTATGTGTCTTGAACTGTCATCAAGTAATTATACTGCACCTGGCTTGTTTGTGGAATCGGAGCGCTTCTTCCTGTTATTGTTTTCTGATGGTTTATAAATTATGGCTCTGTTATTGACATCTTCATTTTCGTTCTTATTATCTTTAATATACTCTTCACCTTCGATGACAATCTGGCCATCATTAAAAATTTGATCTGCTACTGAGACGGTGGTTGGATTAACACTCAACTCTGAAAGATACACATCAGTAAATGTATTTTATTGGAGATATCAAAATCATGAGTGTTTCACAGAATGATGATTAGAAATTTGAGTTTACAGAAAGTAGTGATTATCACTGTATTCAATTGATGTTTTACAAAAAAGCGAAGATACTAAAGACAGGTTACTGCAACATGCAGGAGAAGACTTTTAAATATGTTTTCAAGACCTGAGAAAACATAGTTAAACTACACATGGCTTTCCCTGATATGTAGGGGCGGGCACATCAAAGCTGCCTCTACTGTGACCTTCACTTCACTTACAGGCAGGCCAAAAACAAGACCTAAAAAGTGCAATGCAGAAGAGGATTTGGGAGGCTGGTGTACACCTCTCAATAGAATGAGGCTTTTTGTTAATTATAGCCTGCAATAACCCTGAAGTAAAAACAGCCTGAGACGAACAGTTGAGAGGCCGAAAATTGGCTAATTATGCAAAACAGGTCATTAATATGCACATATTTTTACCCAAAACTGACCAGCGCAATGTCCCAGAGCATCTATGTATGAATTTTCATTGAAAACTGACCAGGGGTTCTTGTGATAATGGTGGAAGAGACATACAGGGTAACTGCAAAGACTACCAATGTGTGCTTTGCATAAACAAGCAGCCTATCGGCTGAGATAGCTCCGCTGTTCGCAATGCACATTTCAATTAAAGAACTGAAGACATCATTAGAAAATGAACAATATGAATAGTATCAAAGCAATCGGACTTACAGTTTTTAACAAGAAGTCGAAAATATCACTTTTTACCAAAAATTACAAAAATATTCACCAAAATAAATAGAGAATTGAAGATATCATCACAAAACAAACAAATCTGAGAGAGGTCCACATGTAGTACCTATATATGTAATATCAAAGCAATTGGACTTGCGGTTTTTAACAAGAAGTCGAAAATATCACTTTTTACCAAAAATGACCAAAATATTCACCAAAATTAGAGAATTGAAGATATCATCACGAAATGAACAAATCTGAGAGAGGTCTACCAAAGGTACATATACACCAAGTATCAAAGCATTCAGGCTTGTAGTTTTCAAGAAGAAGTCGAAAAAGTAAAACATCGACACGGACGACAGACGACGGACAATCACTCATATGATAGCTCCGCTCGACAAAGTCGACAGCGGAGCTAAAAAGAAGTACTACTTACCAGGTGACCACTGACCCACATTATTAATGTTATGTGGTTCAGTAAGAGGTAGAGTTGAAGGAGAGCTTGTGATAATAAATGTCTTTGATATTGAAGGCATTTCACAGCAATATGTGGCACAACCAATTCCAGTACATGGTGTTGTTATCATCATTGTCGGAGTATGGTTCTCGACCACTAATAATGGAAAAAGGAGATAAGATATGACATTCAAATTTACATACTAGGAAATAGTACTGCATTGTTCAAGAAAAACAGTCCGGGTGAGAAGTTTGTATCACACAGAGTGGGAAATGAAACCAACATCTACTTGTCAATAGAAAGTTATATAGATACATGTATCAATAAACTACATAACATGCTCTCACTGCTGAAGTCCTGTTGAAATATACATGTACATCCTTGAGAAGAGGTTTATGGTTTAAATTGATAATTTAGAATGTAATATCCTACTTTGAATTCAGAGACTAATAGACAATACCACCTGAATGTGTTGGATGAACATGTTACTAAACAATATAGTCTACGAAACGACCTCATGACCATCATGCCACAAAAAATATATTTTACATGCGATGTACACAACACATGGAATCCATATTGAACATGACACAGCATGGTGGCTATGGTGATTTAAACTTAGGATATGGCAACACATACCTGGTGGCAAGTTTGTCTTGAATGGTGGATTTCCGAAAGGCCAGTTTGTTGTATATGTGGCTGTCGTTACAACTCTGTGATAAAATAACATTATTAGTTCACAATGCATGTATGATAGACAAGGTTATTTCACTGGTATTTTCTGATGTGTCTAACAACTGATGAAATATTAAAGCAAAAATCATTGGCAAGTAGTTGATTGTAATTAGAAAAAACAAGAATATTGACAACATCCATTTGGGTTTCAGTGCAAATGTCATTCTTTGTGTGACATCATTTTTTGTGTTTCCATGAAAATGATTAGTCATCATTTTATAACAAGAACTTGTTCACATCAGAGTATCCCCTATGCATAAACAAATTCTTTAAAATTATAAGTCTGTAGACATGTACTTGAATTGTTGTGGACAGCTTTGTACAAACACAATAACTACTGCAGCTTTGATGCTTCATAAAAGTTCAATCTCAGAAAACATTTGCAAATACTTACGAAGAAGTTTCTTCTCCACTTGTTGCTTCGAGGGCATAGAGAGTTATCATGGCAGCCACACTGGCAAAAATAAAAGACATACACATGTTAAATGTACAGGTAGGTGAGGAAGGGAAGGGAATGAACTTTGAACTTGTAGGTTAACCCTTAGAACACCACATTTTTTCATGCTACAACTTAAGTGCTTCACTGTGCCAATTTCTCACCATTTGAGGCACTACTTTTTGGTTGAAAAGTTAAATTCACATTTCACACTCGCATGAAAAAAAAAATCCCAAAACGGCAAAGATAACTTACCAGAACAACATAATAAGTATCAATGCCATAATTACACCTTGCATGAACTTCTGAGATAAACACCCAATATCTTCGGGATGTACATGATCATGGTGGTGCTGAGATGAGGTCCGTTGTTTCTTGTGCCCAAAACCTGGAACATTACTTCCCCCACGTTTGCTTCCACTACGACTGCAAAACAGAAAAACATACATAAAATTGAATAAACATATTACAACCTTGTTCATTGAGAATCTAGATCAAACAAGTCATTGAAAATGACACAGTCCCCGTTAAATTTTTGAAAGTTCTCTTTGTGCTCGTCATATTAAAGTGGAGGGGTTGTCGCGAGCGTGTCCTTGAAACTTGAGTTCCAAGTGGCGTATACAACAGATTGTTATTTACATCAAAACTCGTGTTCCATGTAGTAGTAATATGGCCAAAAAAAAAAAAAACAGCCATTATTCGGCCATCTTTGATCTGATTATGAAACACACTGATATGTATGATGTATGTGCCAAATACGAATGAAAATGACACATAAACTGTGGAAATATAGTAGTAAGGCCAAAAAGTCAGATGGCTGTCAATCCGCCATCCTTGACCAGATTTTGAAACAAATTGTCATGGACATGCATTGTAACACGTATAAAGTACATGTATGTGCCAAACTTGAATGAAAACTGACAGAGCACGTCCAAGATACCACATATAAAAATAAAACAAGATGCCTGCCAGTCGACCATCTTTGATCCAATTGCGAAATAAATCGCCATGGACATGTATCCTTACATGTATAATATATGTACCAAGTTTGAATGACAAATGACAAAGCATGTCCAAAATACAACATTTTCAAAAAACAAGATGGCTGCCAGTCGGCCATTTTGATTCAAATCGCTAACCCACTGCAGGTGCATGTGTCCCACATAAGGTACTAGGCACATGCAAAGAATGAATGGAATCGGTCCACAGGATTCTGAAATATGACTCTAGACAGACTGACGCACGGACAGACAGACTCAGGAACTCACAGACGGTCGGAACATGTATCCTAACATGTATGATCTATGTACTAAATTTGAATGAAAACTGACAAAGCATGTCCAAAATACAACATTTTCAAAAAACAAGATGGCTGCCAGTCGGCCATCTTTGATCCAATTGTGAAATAAATAGTCATGGACATGTATCCTAACATGTATAATCTATGTACCAAGTTTGAATGAAAACTGAAAAAGCATGTCCAAAATACAACATTTTCAAAAAACAAGATGGCTGCCAGTCGGCCATTTTGAATCGAATCGCTAAACCACTGCATGTGCATATGTCCCACATAAACTACTAGGCACATGCCAAGAATGAACGGAATCGGTTCAAGGGATTCTGAGATACGACTCCGGACGCACAGACGCACAGACGCACGGACGCACGGACGGAGACCGAATTATAAGTCCCCGTTTTCGGACTTCGTCCGAACGGGGACTAATAATGGATGGATGGATGGATGGATACAAAACAATCCATGCATGGCACAGTCCTTGTTAGTTAACAAATTCAAGATATATAGTTTTGTTTATAGTAATATAGTTGAAACATAAACATGTCAGAAGTATGGATCCAGAAGATGATGTTTGATTATGATGATTTTTTAACATTAAAATGATTGATTGTATCTGATTGTCAAACGAGAACTTGTCCATATTGAGAAATATTGCTCTGGAACATCATTAATTAAAACATCTATATATCTATAACATAATGTAAAACGAATATATAAAATTTGAATATAATCAGTCAAAGCATATCAGAGATATGGCTCTAGAAGTGCATTCATTTTTAAAAAATGGCCGTCAGTCAGCCATTTTGAATTCGATTTGAAAATAAAATGACGTGCATCAGGAGCCCAGAATCTCTAATGCATGTTCGAAGTTTGAACAAAATCCTTCCATAAACGCCAAGATCCAGATGCTTGATTTTTAGGATTTTTTAGTACAAAAATGGCCACCATTTGGCCAGCTTGAATCGTAAAACAAAATGATGTGCATCAAGGTCCTATAATGTCTAATGTATATACCAAGTTTGAACAAAATCCATCTGTAAACAGACGAGAAATGCTTGATATTGATGATTTTTAGCACAAAAATGGCCGCCATTCGGCTATCTTGAATCAGATCATGAAACCAATTGACGTGCATATGTGTAATATCATGTATGATATGTGTGAAGTTTGATTGTGATTGGTCCAGGCATTTCCAAGATACAGGTTTGGATGAACACACGCACGCACGGACACACAGAGGTCAAAACATAAGTCCCCGTTTTCGGACTGCGTCCGAACATGAACTAAAAATAACATACTACCCAGATTTGGCAAAAGTGGGAAAACTAGATTGTCAATTTTTTGAATTCATACTCATACTACACTTATCTAATTTGCGGAACACATACCAAAATCAAATTTGGCAGTTATACCAAACTGGTTAATATAATATCCAAGTTTGATAAACCACAAGAAAAAGTTTACAACGGAGTAAACGAAAAAACAACGAGGACAGCCTGTAAAAGTAAAGTACCAATTGAATGTTGTCAGTTTGTTATGACCAAAATGGAAACAAGAATTTAATCTGTTTTCTAATGAAATGTTGGTAAATCACACTATTGATAAATAAGTATCTTTGTATCACTGACTCAACATACAGTAGCTTCTGAATTTAATTTTATGAACGAGTCATGAAACCAAAAACATCGATGAATGTCAACCGGCAAAATTAAAATAAAAATACATTAGGCCAATGTCACACGTGTATTTTGATTTTGTTTCATTAAAGTTTTGTTCTGTGTAAATTTTTGCATTGTGTTAAAACCATCAAGGAGAATAGAAAGATGGTCAAGTTGCTGACATCTTGTGTGTATCACATTTGTCCTGGTCGAAAATTCTGAGTGTCGGTTGCCAGTGACCAGCGTGGGTAGATCCCTGCATGTGGTGATGGATTCTTATTGTACTACTATTTGACCACCTGTATTACACAGATGCCATTGCTACCGGTAAACGACACCTAGTTTACCACTAAGTATGAAGGATTTCAACAAAATAGTGCCTCACAATGCACCTCATTGATCAGAACGGGTTAGGGTGGGGGAATTACACCTAGATACAGGATGATTATTGGCAAATTTCAAAGGTGTGGATTTCAGTGATCAAATGATGTTTTACTACAATCAAGGTAGAATGTCTCCTTGTTGGCATAGAATTGATTTTACTACCAAAGACAGATTGATTGTATTTCTGAACTGGGCAACTGTCAAAAACAAGTGAAAATAACCTACAGTTCACCATTCAGTTCCAAAAATAAATGTGCACAGATTGGAAAGAAATCCGCCAATAACTTGTTGCCAATGTGGCTAGTGTAGAATTGAGGAAAAACATACAATGACAAATACGGTTTTCAATAAGATGATAAATATTGGGCGAAAAATATAAATTAAATCCTACTAAAATGAAAATAAAATCTTACTAAAACGAAAATGAAAAAAAATCTTACTAAAATGAAAATGAGAATGAACCTGGGAATGAGATGGCTTACCTTGGAATTGTCCCACCACTGGACGTTGATTTCAAACTATCCAGTCTCTTTAGCTTGGATAGTTTGCGGTTCATTTTCTCCAGTTCATCAATTCTGTTTTCTAGATTGTCTGTCAGCTTACAAAGTTCTTTGACAGCACCAACATTCTCCATATAAATACGATCCTGAATACGATGAAAAATGCTTTCAATATTTGCGCAAAAAAATCTGTGGTATGCAAAAATTGTTTAAACCCCAAATTTTGCCAGGATACCCAATATCAGAGACAGAACCACATTTGGTACATACATGTACATGTAGGTGTCAGACAAAAAAATGTTTATGACACTTTAAATTTAAATTGCCTATGATTTTTGCATCCTACCTTATTAGGAAAATTTAATTCCAAGTAAGGCATGACATATTATTTCCAAAAAACAGTAAGTTATAGTAAAAAAAGTAAATTTGAGCACATATATTTACTTAAATGCCCTGCTCAAATTATAACAAAAGTTGGCAGAGAAATGTCAATGCTGAATACAGTTATATCATAGGTACATGGTTACACACTAGAACATGTAGACTTGAAGTGCAAGGGATGGGAGAACATAGACCCTGAATGTACAGCAGGACTTATGAAATCATACAATTATATTCAAATTATTATACTATACTATCTATCTGATTAAAATCCGATGTAGTTATCGGATTCAATTTTGGTTGAACATAAACCAGACAAGTAAAATAATTGTTTACCTTATTTACTATAAGGAATTTATCTATTCTATGTCCATTTGGCAGTATTACATCACCACTTTCTTTGACAGCATCCGGCATAACATCCCTCAAATCCTGCGCTAATACTCCAGTCGTTTTACTATTCTGCTCGGACATACCCGAATGGGCAATATATTCAGGGATATAGTCGTAACTGACTAGTCGTAACTTAGCAACCTTTCGGAGCTGCTCCTTGGTATCAACCTAATGAGAAATGGAAGAATGAAGACCTGATCACTGCTATGTTGCAAGTACAGTAAAATACTTTTCCTGGAAAGACATTTTAATAGGCTGTTTTGAAGGAGGATATTTACACTGAATGTAAAATAAAGGAAAAAGTTTTTTTCACTGGTTTTTATTTTTGCTAATTCATCCCTTCAGCAAAAATAGTGAGAATTAATTCAAAGTGAAAATAAAGTATTTTACAGTTACTGTAGTAATCATTGAGTACAAGTTTATTGTAGGTGCATATCCAATCATATCATGATGCATACTGTAAAAAAAAATATTTTTGCTGGAATTAATTTTCGCTGAAAATAATTTTTGGGTATTTTTTGCATGGAATATATTTTCACTGATTTTTGACAAGTTGAATGTGAAATATAGAAAAAAGGAATATTCGCTGAATTTTATTTTCACTGAATCATTCTTTCAGTGAAAAAAGCAAAAATTATTTCAAAGTGAAAATAAAGTATTTTACAGTCGTCATATTGGTTTTTTCCCAAAGGATAAAGATGATTCCCATTGTCAGTGGATTTCAGATTATGTAATTCTATATCTAATCTTGGAATTAACATTGCTTTTAAAGGTCTGTTGTGAAGGGCTGGAGATAAACCACAAGAAAAACTTTACCATGGAGTCAACAACAACGAGAAGAGCCATTTACCCCTCAGGTAAGAATTAATTACAACTGTTGTGAGCACTCCACATTTGTCTTTGTTTCAATTGAATTTGAAATGTTTTTGCTTCATATTTAATCGGGGAAATTACACAGGATGAAAACAAATGTAATCTTATACCACACTTAGTGGGTGGGCGCTTAGTTAAGCACCCTGCTCAAAACAAAAATTACGGTTCGTGGGAAAACAGACCTGACAGGTCAAGTTTGTTAATAACCAATCAAAGTACTGTGTTGTACTGATGTGAGTTTCCAATTATTGACAGTGGCAATTTTACAACAGATAAAATTAGTCTAAGCGACGATTCATAGTCTTACATCTTCAATGTTTTCTTTAACTCTTTCATCAGAAGGCTGTAGGACTTGTCCAGTAACTTTAATGTCACCATGTACGACAAGAGATTCTTCTGGTCGGTCTGTGTTTATACCAACACGACCCTAAAGTAATAAAGTGGAACACACAATAAAATTAACTATGTCATAAAAACATTTAGCAAATACAGCTCATATAATGTGTACAAAGTTGCCTGCCCTCATTTCACTCCATACTAAAAGTATCTCATTTTTTTAATAAATTTTTTTATTTTATCAAATAATTGCAACATTCTAACAGTTTGTGTTAAAGAAATCATACCACACTTATTTTCAAATTTAACAACCATCTACGCTAACAAATGCAGATGATCACATTTTGAGGACAATAAAGCAAGTGATTTTTTTCTTAAATCAGTCACTGAAGCTATGACATTACCGTATCTGCTTTATTAGAATTGCAAGCACTTTACATAAATGACAAATGTCTGTGGTCAAAATAAGTCAAATTTTAATCATCCAGTGTGCAGTAAGTGCAATTCTGGTTTATGTACAGTAGAAAAAATTATCAATAGTTGATTGTACACAGCCTTTTTAATCAACTTTCTATATGTAAATTAAACTGATAAAAGTTCAAGTGAAATGTAAAGTATGTCCAAACTACTAATAAAAGAAATAATATAGAAACTATCCCACGTACCACATGGAAAACCGAATCTGGTGTAATTCCTTTCTGCCACATCATATCCACGTCATTTTCAAACTGTCCAGGATTTGATGCCTAAAGTGAGTTGAGTAAAAACAAAAGTGTGAAATATGTTGAGCTAAACATACATACACATACACATTGTGTTTTATTTATATTTTCAGACCAATGGGTGAACTTTCTGTTAAAGAAGCTGACTATCACACACACAATACATGTATATGATCAAAGTACAATCTTAACAGCTACATACATGTGTGTGTATATATATATATATACCAGAGGTACATTACTTGGGGTTTGCAACTCTCATAGTACTGTATGGTGACATCATGTCAAGATCCCATTCAAGTCTCTTCTCGTAGATAGCGAGACTGAGGCTACGACATTCTGACATGACAATGTTCAAGGCTTGTAATGAAAAAATAAAACTTTTCTTGTCGCTATCATAGTGAAAAATGTAATACATTGAAAAAGTACAGAAAATATAGTTCTCGTAATCCGTCATATCGTGGGCAGATATTTTGATCCACCTCGACATCCCAGTATCCTAGTTACCTCGGGCATGCGCATTCGCATTTTTCTGAGTTGGAACGCTTATGCGAGAGCGAGATTGTGACGGGATCTTGGTATCATGTCACCGTAGTTACAAACCCCAAGTAATGTACCTCTGATAATATACATATCAATTGTTGGTAGTGCTTTTTTTTTTATGAGTGCTGTAATGAGTGATAAAGCCGAGAGTGAGTGAATAACAGTCTACAACTATTTATATTCTTCATTTTTAGTGTTGACATTTTTATAGCAGTAGTGTTGTATTGCAGTGATGTACACAATACCATTTGATGATTTGTTTTTCTCCACATAATGTTTTAACAGATAATAATGGTAATGTTCACTGCAAATATCATGATTACCATAACTCAAACTCAGCAATTCATTATTAGTCATGTTCAGGCTAAATTCAAGTTATTCTTAATGTTTGCATGTGGGCTAGATCCAATTGCTTCAGGCATGAGAGGAAACAGCAGTCAGTCTGGGTTAAGAAATGCCCAAATTGGATAAGAATACATAAACCTTGAGACCTTTTAACTATGATTACTCCGTACAGTATACCCAGGCAGGTATATATCTTAGTTTTATGGTTAAAAAAACAATACTGTAGCAAATTCAGAAAGGGTCGCAGAACAATATTAAGTAGTACACAGTCTCTTAGCTTAAACTAAGCATGCATGCATATTTGTTAGCCTGTGCAAAGAGTCTAGACTGGGTTTTATAAATGAGTCATTCCCATTTCTTAGGCAGGTTAACGCTTTTGACCTCTTATCCTGGACTAAGAAGCTTTTCACAAACACAACTATTAGAGCAGTGAACGTTCATTTTCTCTAATTGTACTCAAAATTTTTCATTTATTACACCTATCCTCGGGGCGGACATCCGGGCATTTTCACCGCCTGGCAACCATCGCGACGAAAACAAAGACCAAAAACTCGCAGAAAACGGTACTTTGGGATGATTGTTGAGACTCCTCTGAACAGTGTTACAAGATTAGCCCTGGGTGTGTAACATATGTACATTTGGTTGGTCAGGATTACTTCAAAGTTGAGTTTGTGTTGTTTTCTCGAATTTTCATCAGTGCGACCGGCGTTCCACAGCAGCGCACACAGAGCCCATAGAAATGCATGGTACAGTGATGCGCGTCTTAGCAACGTGGAACGTCTATGACGTAGCTCCGCCCACAAGGATAGGATTAAGAATCATTCAACATAAAGAATATTTACTTATATGCACCACTTACCCTCACAATTATCCTTTCAGATGATGATGAAGCTATTGTGTAATTTTCATTACCGCAGTGGGCATGTAAACCAACCACCAGCATAAAATACCTCTGATCGGGGTTAGGTTTGCCTTTCTTTCTCATGTTGTTTGACGTCGTTTCGCTGAAGTGTAACCTACCCACTGTAACTTTCGTGACCTGGTCTGGTGGTAAATCAACCCTGAAATCACATACAAATTTGTTGAGTCTCACATGACAGGGAAGTTGGCTGAATGTAGTATAACTACCCAGAGGAAGTGTACAATTAGAGGATAATTTAAAATGCACTGCCTTTCAATACTACTGCATATACTGTATTTTCTGTTAGACTGTAAGTGCATACATGTAAACTACTAAGTGAGCAAATACAGTATATAACTTATGCAGAATGAAATGCAAAATTATCTATCCCATAATTGTACTTTTAAATATTCACCAACACGAAAGGGTTCTGATTACATCAATTAGAGATAAGATTTTCTTCGACTTTCAAACTTTTTTTTTTGCCCAATTTTTGTTGCAAATTTTTGAATAATTTCTTTTTCCATTTTAAACAAAAGTTGTCATAGCAAAGTTCCCACTAGCAGTAGGTCTTAATCAGTAGGTCTTAATCAAAATGAAATTTTTTGAAAGGTGGAAAAAGTTGACAAAAAGGAGGATCTCGCAGTGATCGAAAAATGGTCTATTGATCATACAGTACCACATCCCTAATAGAAGTCGCACCCATTCTTTTTGAACAATTGAGAAGCAAAAATTCATCACGTGTAGATGCTCTAATAGAAGCCGCATCCCTCTGTTGTACGGTACCTTTTTAATAGAAAACGTGGCTTCCAATACAGATTTCACAGTACTTGAGGTTATCGGTCATGACCACCAACTGTTTATTTGTTTACACTGCAACTCATAAATTACTCCACTTTTATAACAAGATCCATGTATACTTGAGTGTGTCAGTATACTTACTTGACAGGATAGAAAGGCTTTTTACTTCGGTCGGATTGTGACTGTTCCACCTTGATAACAGACTCAGTTGATTCAACCTGAACATAATAAAATAACAGAACACAATTTATATATTTTTTTAATTAATTAATTAATTAATTTATTTATTTATTTATTTATTTATTTGATGTGAGATTACTTTTTCTTTTTTTTGATTTACTAATTAAATTAGAAGGATGGAAGACTATGAGGTTATCATCTGATATGTACATAGAGCTGGATGAAATGTAGAGAGTATTATCAAAAAACCGAAAAGGTGTGATACCATGAGTATCAACATTGAGAGTCATCAACTGACTGTGATCGCATTCACCAACTAGCGTGCAAATGAATTATTTATAGAAGTCACTGAATGATCTTCAAATGTTGCCACACGAAGACGGTGAATCACCACAATATCTTACCTTCACACCAAAAAGATGAAGATAGAAGCTATCAATGGGTTTCAGTTCTCCATCAACTCTGATATACTTTGGGTTGCCGATCAAACCAATATGGGATGTTACTTGGAAATGATTTTTCTTTTGACAGACAAAGGAATCATCAGGAACTGAGAAATTGAACCCTTTGTCCGCTTCTGTCTTGTATGTTGTTGCTGGCCTAGAAATAATAGAAATTTTTGTACAGTTAGAGTATCAGTTGGCCACATTGAATACAAAAAAAAATTATTTTTTTTATTGTTTTTGCTGGCATTTTTCATTCTTTCACTGTTATCGCTGCTTTTTTCAAAAGGTGCCATTCCCAATTTGATTGTTTCTTGAAAAATATTTTGGTCAAAATTTATTTGATGTTGAATTTCACAAAAAGAAATGTTTGAAGCATGAATTTGACAGACACCAGTTTGTCTGTGATAGAGCAATTATATGCAACCATATTCATTATTCATTTGTGAATGGGACAAACTCACCCAGAATAGAGCAAGATATGAATCCAATAACTATATACAAAGAAAGACCCTGTGTTATTATTGGAAACTTGATTTTGCAAAAAGTTCTATTGTTATTTTTCTTTTTCACATGGTTTTAAGGCAGCAGATTTTACTTATCAGCGAAAAATAAGAATTTAAAACCAATATGAATAATTAATGCATTTACTATAAGTTGTGGGTGCTGTAACGTATTTAATCATACAAATTTTACTTACAGGTCTTTTCCAGTAGCATCTACTAAGGTGACGTAGTTACTTTGATTGAACGCCTGCCATTTTATACACTGATAACTGTTCTCCATGTACATACGCGATTCACTATCGTATTCTAGGCTGCAATCACTGTAAATGCCTGAAAGGAAAGCACAATATGGAACACTTAGATAGTTTATAAGTGTTTATTGTTATTGTTTTATTAAAGATGGTACTATCATAACCACAAAACATCTAATGCATGAACACTGCATGAAATCAAAAAAGGTATTTTCAACCGCAACTATGTTACTATTTTTTTATTGAATATAAAGTAAAATTGTTATCACATTCAAAACTTTCACTATTTTGTAAAACTATCTGTTATTACAGCAAAATTCATATCAAATGTCCAGCAACCCCCTGCATTTTCTCCTATATTTTTCAAGATCTCAAAAGCATATATTTTACCACATTAGTAAAATTCAAATTCTATTGGATAAAGCGGCTACAATGAAGTTAGTCCAGCATTTGTGTCGTTGAGATTAGACTACTGTAATATTATATACTAGTATTTTATGGACGCCCCCAGTTTCAGCTAAACAAGCTCTAATTTGTTCAAAATGCAGCAGTCAGACTCGTCAACTGTAAAAAAAAATCTGACCACATTACATCTACACTTTATGATTTGCATTGGCTACTCATTTGTGAAAGAATAAATTGTAACGTTCTGTTGACTGTCTATACAATTTTAAATAATTCTGCTCTAATATATTTATGTGACTTGGTTGACCTTTATGAACCGGGTTCATAGTGGTCTCAGGTCATCTAACATCTGAAATTTCAAAATGTACCACAACAAGTCATTGAAAATGACACAGTCCCCGTTAAGTTCTCTTTGTGCTCGTCATAATAAAGCGGAGGGGTTGTCGCGAGTGTGTCCTTGAAACTTGAGTTCCAAGTGGCGTATACAACAGATTGTTTATTTACATCAAAACACGTGTTTCGTGTCATAGTAATATGGCCAAAATAAAAACAGTCGTTATTCGGTCATCTTTGATCTGATTATGAAACACACTGATATGTATGATGTATGTGCCAAATATGAATAAAAATGATACATAAATTGTGGAAATATAGTAGTAAGGCCAAAAAGTCAGATGGCTGTCAATCTGCCATCCTTGAAAAGATTTTGAAACAAATTGTCATGGACATGCATCCTAACATGTATAAAGTACATGTATGTGCCAAATTTGAATGAAAACTGACAGAGCATGTCCAAGATACCGCATAAAAAAACACAAACAAGATTCCTGCCAGTCGACCATCATTTATCCAATTGTGAAATAAATCATGGACATGTATCCTAACATGTATGATCTATGTACTAAATTTGAATGAAAACTGACAAAGCATGTCCAAAATATGACATTTTCAAAAAACAAGATGGCTGCCAGTCGGCCATCTTTGATCCAATTGTGAAATAAATCGTGGACATGTATCCTAACATGTATAATCTATGTACCAAGTTTGAATGAAAACTGACAAAGCATGTCCAAAATACATTTTCAAAAAACAAGATGGCTGCCAGTCGGCCATTTTGAATCGAATCGCTAAACCACTGCATGTGCATATGTCCCAACTAAAGTACTAGGGACATGAAAAGAATGAACAGAATCGGTCCAAGGGATACTGAGATATGACTCCGGACGGACGCACAGACACACTGACGCACGGACGGACGGAGACCAAATTATAAGTTCCCGTTTTCGTCTGAACGGGGACTAAAAACACATGGTTGGCATTCTTTTAGAACTTATGCCCCCCTTTTGTGGAATGAACTTCCACTCTCCATTCGTCAGTCAATCAATATGGTTGAGAGGTCTGAAAACTCATCTGTTTAGAAGACAGTTTTTCATTTGAATCCGTAATGTTATTTTTTTAAGTATTTTGAAAACTGTTTTTTTTTTCTTTATGTGATTAAGAAAATTTGTATTATTATTACAATTAAATTTTAAAATATTTGTAAGGATTTTCAATTAGGAGTTTATAGACAAATTCTACTCCATATGCTATGGATAGCATTAGAGACAATGGTACACACTGTATTACATATATATATATATATATATATATACATGTATGTATGTATATATATATATATATATATATGGTTGATTGCATGATAGTTATTATTCTATTTCTGCAAATGAAATGTTTATACACTTGTGGTAGTCGCCAAGTTATATATAAATATATATACTAATTACTCTGACATATTATATTCATAATATGAAGTTGTTGGTAAAATCAAAACAACAATTTTAACAATTTTGTTGTTGAATTAGCAAACCTTGCTTGCATGTGTTTCGTCCATTCTTTTTCACCCAACTGAACTATGCAAGTGCCTACAGCCATAATTATGATGGGTTCAAGGTTGAGCTTGTGAATTATTCTCATAACAGACTAGTCCCAGTAAGAGTAGAAAAATTTTATTAAATGAATTATTAGGGCTTTATTGACATTTGATATGAATACAGCCAACAGTACACATCATTTTGGTGACTAGCTTGCTCTGGATTTCTTTCGATTTGCAAGTTTATTGACCAGCCACTGTAAAACAGTTGTAAAAAACATTTAGAATATGTCATCAACTTTATAATTCATTAATGTGTAACAAACATCTGACTGAAATCACATTCAAAACTTTTGAGTCAGGAATTGACAAATAGAAATCACACACAAAAATATGAACTGAAATAAATTTGTTTGCAAGACACCCCTATTTATAAATGTGACCTTTGCCCCTTTTTATTTAATAGCACAGAAGAGTAATACAATTATCATTAAAGCATATTTGCTCAAAAAAAAAGGAAGCAAAAAATGAATAGAAATGTAGGCAACGGCCGTTATAAAAACCACGAAATTATACTGCAAGTTGGAGTACACATATATGGTCCGTGGTTATACCACTATACCGTACTTTCCCGAGCATAAGCCCCTCCCCGAGTATAAGCCCACCCCTCTGTTTTTAGAAATTTAACAAGTTGAGGGCATCCTCGAGTATAAGCCCAGGGTGTTTTTAATGGGCATTGACGACATTTATTAAAATTTGCATGTAAAAAGTGTATTTCATTGCATAATAATCGTGAGTGGTACGGTAGTTTGGTTCCTGTGTTTACGAGAAAACTCGCATTAATTTTAGAGTGCATGGTCGGCGAACGTACGGAACATAGTTCAAACCTTTTCTGTTTTGTTATTTACTCAGGATGAACCCCAATGTTGAAATACTGAAGTAATCCATATTTCTTTTGAGTAGTAGTTTTAGAAACGCCAAAAATGTGATCAAGTTGTGAAACCTGGTCATTGAACATCGTTTTACTTTTACGATAATCATGTTTTTCGGTCATGTTCATTGAGACTATCGTGAATGGGACGTGAACGAGAAAACCATTCTTCGACATGACTTGTTGGCGACCGTGAACAGTTTAAATACTTCCTCCATCCTCAGTTTACCTTTTGAAAATTACGAATCACCGTTTTTTATCAAAATCTAATCGCATTTTAACATTGCGGTAATTCACTTCCGCATTGCGTTGAAAAAATTACTTCATCAATAATCGGAAAACTTCGTCTGTACGACATAGCATTTTGATTGGTTAACGAAAGACGTGACCTGTTAGGTCAAAGGAAGTTGTTCAAGTCAAGTCATGATGAAAAACACCATGGCGGAAATTGCTTTGTATTGAGAGTTTGCGTATGATCGAAAACATTCAACAACGAAGATAATGATAAAGATCTTGCCTTCCACTGTTTTCCCGCAGACCCTACCCATTTTCGCACCGTAAATTAGGGTATGTAAATCGTATTGTAATAAAATGTGTGTATTTTTATGAACAGGTTTGTTTCTTAATTGTAAAAAGTGTCGTGGAAATCAAAAAGACGTAATATTTCTCCGAGACCGGCGCTGTGAACGAAAAATGTAATTTGGATAATTTTTCGTGGTTGGGAAGATGGTTACAATTTTAAACCCCCCAAAAAAATTTCCCACCCCCTAATTTTCCTGATTTTACATGTTCAGGCCCCTGGGCTTATACTTGGGGAAGTACGGTAGTTAAATTTACTCTTCATATAGACTAAACACACAAGGTCATTAGTAACACATTAATTAATAAACATTAACTGTATCAATATAAAAGGCAGGGAAAATGAAGCAGCATCTACAAGGTGGTGCGCAATCAAGTGTTTCAGTCTTGATGTTTCAACGATTTTGTTGTATTTTTCTAAATTTCTTGAATTTGAGATGGTTGTCTTCATAATGCAATAAAAACAAACCAAGAATGTCATTCAATATTGATCGAATTTTTTAAAAGATGTAAAATTTCAGTATAAATTATCTAAATGACAAATGTTGTGATCTCTTTCGTCACATGTACAATCAACCTGGTTATTACTTCATCTGTCAGAAACACTTCAAGTTAGTTTTTGTCATAAAAATATGTATGATAGTTACATTCATGAAATGTGGAACAAAATAAATGAAATAAAACAAAATAAATAAATGGATAAAGTTGAGGGCATAATAGCACTTCCATGAACATATAAAGCAAATCTCATCAAAGTCACATGATTAACTCAAGAAATCTTGAGATTTTGTGAGAATGCCACACAGATTTACATAAAGAGAATCTTGAAACATATGTTGCACTGCAATGTTATGTACTTTTCATGTACAAGACAAAAGTTATCAATCCCACAAAGTATTTATACTATTGGATTTGCAATATTATACCTTCTGAATGCCAGACAACTTTTGTAAAAAATCATTCATAAAATAGCCCTGCATGTTTTTTTTCAAAAACCTTGATTAATAACTGTCGATGGTGAAAAATTATATCCATTTTGTCCAAAATTAACCAAAAATTGATAGAAAATGTAGAAAAATGTCAGAAATGTTACATTAATATTTTGGCGGGAAAAGATGATGGCATTCAAAGGATAATTCATGTGATATTGAAGTGATCTCCATGGGTACACCCTTAACTTGATGAGAATAAGTGTGAATGATACCCTTAACTTGATGAGAATAAGTGTGAATGATATAAATATGAAATGAATATGTACCATCTAAAGCTTCAAGCTGTGAGCCATGTCCAGCATGACTACCATTCTCTGCAGATGAATAGAAAGCTACCATGAAACATCATGCATATTCAATCTAAACTACCCGGTATAACAGGCCTTGTTTTTTTGATAAATGCTGGCGCGCTAGAAATGACACAGTACATGTATGCGAGAGATTAGAAAGGAGCTATGTTAATCAACATCTCAGAATAATAATGAGTTTTGTGAATCCTGACTGGTGCCAGTTCATGAGTGGAACAATCATGTTCCTCAAATGGCAAAATTATCAAGACCAATTTTCTGGTTGTGAACCCCTAATTTGTCAAGTTCTCAACATAAGTTATTTACTACATGGAAGTATTCACAGAATAAATATCAGACTTAGCAGACAGGAGTCAAACATTTCTATTTTAGGATCACACACATCTTTTTTCTCAATCAACAAACACTCATGAAGCCCCTCCCATCTCTATCAATATATCAACAAGTACATGTAGGTAAAAACCAATATAGTAATAGCGTCCCCTTTCCATTGAGTATTCTGACCAGCTTAAAGGCCTAAAACTGAAATTGTACAATGACCATCCTGAACCTCCATGAAAAAATATTAAATAAAACATAACTATAGTAGCAACCAAAAAGTATTTTATTTAATTATTAATAATGCCATAAATTTCAGTTTGTTTACTAAAGGTAGAATTTTAATTAAATAGTTGTTCAATAATGTATATTTTTGCCAACTTGTTAAATGTTTTTTTTGTCATTATGTGTAAATATTAGTGATCATCTCATTATTTGGAAACCAAAAGAATATTTTCCTACAATTTTGTTGATAAGTTTGGGAAAATTAAGCACAAGTCTATTTGCTAGAAAAAATTGTGCAGGTTTTTTTTTTTAAAGGTGGTAAAATTTGTCTTAAGGTGATTCAAGAGTTACAGACCCTTACCGTAGTTGTCCAAGTATAAAACCCCCTCCAAATTTACAGCATTTTACAACAAGTCATTTATCCAATTATAATTGATTTGTTTATGAATAAATTAGCATAAATTATTGCTTGGGAGATGTTTTAACTTTTTTCCGTGTAAAAGCCCCCCCCCTAATTTATCGTCAATTTGCCGTTTTCCCAGAGGGGTTTATACTCGGACAACTACGATACTACATTGATATACGTGTACATGTGTCTACATTGGGAATAAAGGACAAGAAAGAAGATGTGCACAATAACGGCAGTTGAACCACTTTTATAAGTGAACATTCTGTTATCAATTATGGGCAGTGTGGAGTCCTTTATTTCAGTTATAATACCCTCGACCTGGTGATATTTATCAATTACTGTAAACCTTTTTTTTTTTTTTGAGCTGAATTAAGGGAATTTCGAAGGTGCTCAGAACTGAACTGGATAAAAATCAATGACTCAATCCCAACTAGAATTTGTTCAAAACTTGTATCACCTATCAGCCCAAATACAGACATACATGGTGCCATATAACTTACCGGGTTCCTGTTTGATTTGTATCATCGCCGGCAACAATCCAGGGGCTAGTGTGTTGTTTGTCATTGTACTGGTAGGAGAATCAGAATGTTTCCTCTTCTTATTCTGATGAACATAGCTGTAAACAAATAAAATAACAATATTTGGTGAATTTAACATTTCAACATCCTATTCTGGTAAAATATGACCATAATAAAAAGACAAGAAGGCAAAGCAATGGTCAGCCAGTTGGTAGAGTACATTCTAAAATATCACATGTCACTGATGTAATAGGAAAAAACAGAAATATTAAATTCATATCATTGACAGAGCAGAAATAAACATGACACAAGCAACCTCATGGTCAAAATGGCTCTGCTGTTTTTATGGAGTGTCTTCATCAAAGCAAAGTTGATAATGCTCTGTAAGATGCGATATTATCTACAAATGTACATGGTTCTTTTTCCCACATATATACCACCAAATATCAAAGCAATTGACCTGGTAGTTATCAAGAAGAAGTTACAAATAACATTTTTTACAAAGTACTAAAATGGAGAATTGAAAACACCATCATAAACTAAACAAATCTCACAGAGGTCCACCACCCATGGTACCTCTATGGCGAGTATCAAAGCTATTAAACTGGTAGTTTTCAAGAAGAAGATGAAAATGTAATAATTGTTGGACAACTGACAATGCGTGACGAATGGAAGAGCAATAACAGACAATCACCTATATGAACTGTTCTGCTCAGTCATGTACATGTACATGTACAATGGCAAAATTACAAAATCCTCATCACTGCCTGCATAAGAAGAACTGTAAGCTCCTCTTGAACTTGAAATTACAGAATCCAGAAATGCGATAACCATGACATAATATTTTTCAACAAATATGATAAATAGTTACATTTGATTATTGTATCAGTGTACCAAAACTGAGATGCGTCATGTTGTCTACATTTGCTAAATATTTGCAATGCAACAAGAAAATAAGTATGCCCACCCTTCTCTACAAAACACCATTCTCGTGAACCTGAACTGGAATAGGAATCGCAATCTAGACTGGCATTGGAGGTGGCCTTTAAGCACACTAATTCTTCTGATATTCCCCTAAGATGATTGTGTTTCTGACGTGGTACAGGGTGCACCCTGATACAACACTCATTAGCAGTACTTTCACATCAGTCACTATGAGACAGCTTGACACAACAACATATCACATTACAAAAGGTAGCAGAGAAGGAACGGAAAGAAACAACAAAACACACTTCAACTTTTATTCAATAATTCATGCGAGAAATGTAGCTACTAAAACTTCATACAATTTCGCCACAGGTTTAAAACAAGCTAATACTAATTTTACAGAAATTTGGGATGGTAATAAAGAAGCTGAAATCTTATTGAGTGCAGGATTTGTACTTATATGGTATTCTATTCTATTTCCATTCTTGATAGCATGCATGATTTCCATGTGAATTCAACTTTTTTACACAGGTGTGGCTAATCAACTAGTAAACGTATGTTACTGCTTCATTAGAATTAATGCTAATGCTGCATTTTGTCAGTAATAAGGACTTCAAATATTAACTATGTTTATTTACCAAGATGTAGTAAACCTGGAATAATTTTATTGTCGAAAAAGTCATAAATGAAGAAAGTAATTGCAAGGTCAAGAGCTTTAGAGAAAGTGAAGTGGTTTCGGTTTTTCCTGGGGAATTTTTATATGCTTTCACTATTCATTACAATGTTTTACAGAGAAGTTAGGCACTAATTCTTTTGCTGATTCAGAGCTTACTCATAATCAGAAAGTTGATCACGTACAGGCTGAGTAAAATATCCTGAACTGAATTCACGCAGAAAAGGTAAAACTGTCATAATAAAACAGTCAGCTCAATTTATACTGTGTACAATGTTTTACACATTTCACATGATTTGAGCCAATACTGTAAAGGGGGTAATTATTCACTGGGTTTTAATTTAGCTTATTTCGCTGACTGGAAAAATGCGCTAAATTAAAACACAGTGAATATGTAAAATTTAGCATAGAACACATTATCTAAATGATAAAACCGTGAATTTAAAACCCACTGAATATGCCTGAAATGGTAAATCAGTGAAATTTAAACCCAGTGAAAATTAGTCATTTTACAGTACTACAACCCTACAAATAATCTTAATCACAGACCAAAATACTTTAAATTGTAGTCATTCAGAGAATGCAAAAGTGTCGTAAAAAAACAAAACCTTAACATTAAATTTACAGAACAGAAGTCAAAATAATTCAATGCTTAATATTTTTTTTCTATAATAATTTAAAAGTAAATTTTCACAAATTTATGTATATAATCAACACATACTAATTGATTGAATTTCATGATCCACATTTGAATGTTGCCATTCCAAATTACAGGCTGTAAACAATGCTAGTTGAAGCATAACTATTAATCATTAATCAATTGCAATCGGACCCATTCATTGAAAAGTTACCAATTAAAGTTCAAAATGGTACTGTGTGTGCCTAGTACAGACTAAAATCCATGTTGATTGAATCAAAAATAGAAATAAAGATGCAAGCAAATGCTGATAACTACATATAATAACCCCTACAATATTTTATTTTTTATTTCAGGTTTAAAAAACTTTCAAATATCCAACTTATTATTTTCATTGTATATTTTTATATTGAATAAACAAAAATATACTTGTTATATATATTGCAATATTAAATACTAATATGACATATATACATGTATATATGTTTTTAAAGCAACAAAATATTATTTCCTTCTCTAGAATAATTAACAGCTAATCAAAAACAAAAAGTTATTAAAAAGTGTGGGAATGAGTTACAGGAAAATAAATTTGAAGAAATCTAAACCTGGAGACTTCCGTTTTTAAATGCTTCTGGTGCATGTAAAAATACATCGCAATAAAAAAAAGGTAATATAAGTGAAAGGTGGCTCACCTGTCGTGTAATAAACCCTGCTGTGCCTGTGTTGTCGGTAGATGCGACAACTGTGGCGGGTTCGGCGTGATGTAATTTGTGAGAGAGTTGGGCGTGCGTCCCACCTGCATCATAGGCTGTAGAAGCTGCTGGTTATGCATCTGTGGTGGTGGTGGTTGTCCCAGGGAATGTGTCGTAGGTTGCGTCTGTATAACTTGGTTTCCTTGTATTGATAATGATGGCTGGGTCACTTCAGTCTGACTATGCCGAGGTGACAAATGGACCGTTCCATTTGACAGGTTGGACTTCATTTCTGGGGGTGAATAAGGCTCTGATGAAGAATCCGGAGGGGATTCAGGTAATGACCTACAAGTAGAATAGTGATACGAGTGAAAACATGATAAGATACGTTCTAAATCAATGCATGAATTGTACAATAGTTTTTTCCTGTACGAGAGATGTAATGAGCCTCATTTCAGGCTGTAGACACCTGTAGAACACAATGCGAGCTGAAAACTGTTCCTAAAACTGCAATATTCACACTGGAACTAAGCAATGTTAAGACTTCCAACACAAGTATTTCTTATTCAAGTGGATGCTGATGTTTTTGCTGTTACATGAGAGAACAATGATTGTTGACTAGTGGAAATATTGAGTTTTCTGCTATTACACAACAAAAATAAATAAATATAGTTTCTACTAAATAAGAGAACATTGATGTTTTTGCAGTTACACAAGAGAACATTGAAGTTGGTATATGAAAACAATGATGTTGCAGTCACTCAAAGAACAGTTTTGTTGTTGTCCATACCTAAGACCATGTTGTAACATGAGAGAAACATCAATTTTGAAAAAAAGCCGAGGGTGAAACATCTGGGAGTGAAAAAAGCAGGCAAAACACCTGTGCCTGAAACATAAACTGTTTATTAGGCTGTACACATTTCTTAGTATGGGCTAAAACTGTTGTCTTCTTCATTACCCCTATGCTATGCGTATGTGTGAACAACTGTATGAATGCAACAATAATTTTTTTTTGCTTTGAATTGCCAGACTTGTTGAATGACTGGTTGGCTGTCATCAACATCTTTCCCTAATAATACATGTATGTATGCAGCTGCAGTCACCAAAAATTACATGAACTAATAAAAAAAAATCCTATTCAGTTTTACTTTCAGCACTATAATATTCCTAAGAACACAGCCACAGCAATGCTCTAAGACAGACTGGTAGGAAGAAGAAGCAAAACATCTTTGTATTACAGGTGAGAAAAATGGGTTAGCAGGGGGAGGAAAATGGGTTAGCCGGGTGAGGAAAATGGGTTAGCAGGATGAGAAAAACGGGTTAGCCGGGTGAGAAAATGGGTTAGCCGGGTGAGAAAATGGGTTAGCCGGGTGAGAAAAATGGGTTAGCCGGGTGAGGAAAATGGGTTAGCCGGGTGAGAAAAATGGGTTAGCCGGGTGAGGAAAATGGGTTAGCTGGGTGAGAAAAATGGGTTAGCAGGGTGAGAAAAACGGGTTAGCCGGGTGAGGAAAATGGGTTAGCCGGGTGAGAAAAATGGGTTAGCCGGGTGAGAAAAATGGGTTAGCCGGGTGAGAAAAATGGGTTAGCCGGGTGAGAAAAATGGGTTAGCCGGGTGAGAAAAATGGGTTAGCCAGGGGAAACAAAGGTGTTAATCCAAAAGAGCATTGTGTCAATTGTTTGATTAGTGATGGCAATCTTTGGAGGATTATAATGTAGTTATGAATGATTGCTGTATGCATGTCATAGCTATCAGACGGCCTTGGGAAAGTACAACGTCAATCTGAATATGAAAGAGACCAATCGATCAAAGTGAAAGTGGTGCTGAACATCTACAGTCAAATCATGCATAACATGCCACTAATTTCAACAGAAAATCTGTTCATGGTAACATGTCACAAATTCCCTCCTAAACAACATATAAAATCTACCAAAATAGTGGTACATGTAGGAGGAAGCTGTTAAATACAATCAGGTTATTTTGTAGATTTTCTTCAAAGCTAATGTGCTTTCATTCATTACATATACAAAATTTAATGCATGTTATATAACAGATGACTAGAATAACCCTACTCTTTGCAGCAAATACCATTACCATTGCCACCATTACTCTCATGAAAACGGTTGCATCCAGCATCACTGGCTTTACAAAATAAACGTTTAGCCACTGACTGGAAGCTATAAATATCTACAAATGTTGACACAAAGGAACCCTATAATTCTATCTACTGTCATGATAAAGA